CAAAACGACGCCGACCCTCAAATCCCTAAGGCCTCAACCCTAAAAAGTAAAATCCCTAAATCGAGCCGACCCTCAATCCCTAATCGAGCAGAGTAGCAGACCCTCGTCTTCATTCTTCATCAATCTCTTCTGCGCCGTGAGCCGAGAGCATCCCGCCTGAATTGTGCTGTATAGAAGGAATTGTGTCTGCGCCTTCTGAAGCGGCGGTGGACCGTGGTGGATTGAACGGAAGGAATGAACGCAGCGGGATCAGATTGCCTGATTCCGGGAGAAGGAGACGCAAAAGGCCTCGTTTCTGGAGAACGAAGAAAAGAAACTAGGTCGCAGCCTTCAATTTTCGAGGTTTTCGAGGCGGAGGGTAGGAATCGCCTCAATAACTGGAGATCGAATTGCGGCGGCATTTTGCTCGAGGATCATCGCGACGAGATGGGAGAAATTGACAACGAGCTTCCGGTGTCGCCGGTAGCTGGAGATTCTGGGGTAGAAGGAGGAACAAGGCAGGGGAATTACAGCGGTTTGGCCGGCAAATTGGAGACGGATTCGTCCTCTAGCGGGAATCAGGCACCGAAGGGACCGCAGCTCCATTTCGCGTTGGATAGCGGAGCGATGGCTTACCGCGCGAGACCTGTTCTGATTGTGAAGGATATCGGCGAGCCGGACGGCGGGAAGCGGCTGAGAGGGACAGGGGAGGATGCAACACCGGACCGTGATTCTGGCGGGAATGTGCCACAGCAGGGTGCCGGTGGCTTTTGTTGCATGCCGCGGTTACTTCGGTTAACCGAGCAACTAACCGGCAACCGACCGGTCGGATGCCAGCTAACCGAAGCTTTTCTTCGGGCGGTTGGCGGTAGACTCATCCCCTGTATCGGTTAACCGGTAACCGACATTTCGGTTATCGCTATAACCAAACTAACCGAAATGCCAGCCCTACTATTAAAGATGAGAGTAAACGTTCAATAACCACAATCCAAACGAAGAACATCCGCATTGTATTAATTTTTTCATAGAGCTGAATGGGCTTACATAGATCGTGAAAGATCTGCCCATAATTACATAACAATTGACAGTGAAACTAAACACACGTAGGTAGCTAGGTCGCACCTAGCAAATTAACCACAAGTAAAATGATTCAATTTCTTTTTTTTATTTTATTGTTTAGAGATGTAGATATAGTTTTATTTTGTTGCCAAAACCATTTAAAGATAGAGTTGAATGAGGACTCGCAGGCCGCAAACTGGGGTGATGGTGTAACTGGTGAATCCAGCTTCGGAGAAGAGCTTGGCGAACTGTGCTTCTGTTCTGATCTTTCCCTCAGCACACATCATTATTACCAGATCAAAATTCAAGAGTGTTTCAGTGGCGTGGCGATCGCTGCAGCTCTGGTGCCCTACCACCATGTCTGCTATCATCACCTTTCCACCACCGTTGCTGATCACCGCTTCCTTGGCTTGCTTCAGTATCTTCACACAAGATTCGTCTCCCCAATCGCACAGTACCCACTGCATGTACATTTTTTTTAGTTTGCTTTCAATTTAGGCAAAATACATTTGTATAACCAAAACTTTGACGTTTGTGACAATAATAGCCACTTTTGAATAAATACCAAATATAGCCAGAATTTTGAAAGTTTCATGACAAATATAGCCATTTTCGCGGTAAACTATAACGGTGTTAGAAACTTTGTCAGTTAGGTTAACGGTAGGCTGACTAGGATGCCAAATCATCGCACACATCAGCGACAACTCAGCCGTTGGTGACACGTAGATGCCACGTGTTATTTCAATTAAAAATTAAAATAAATAATTTTAATTTGTCTTTAATAACAAAATTGAATTAAAAAAAAAAAGCAAATGTATCCCTTTTCATCTTCTTCCTCTCGCCAAGGAAAGGAAACTCTTTCTATCCATTCCCAAATCAAAGACAGAGACAAGAACCAAGAATCCAAGCGAACAACCATCTTCCACTCCAATTCCATGCCGCCAAAACTCGATTCCCTAACCCTCCATCTTCGCACCAACTTCTCCAACCACCCACCAGTACCGCCAAAACTCGATCCCTGACCCTTTAATAAAAACCTCTCGTCTCCCTCTCCTTCCTAGTCGCCGTTGTAATCCTCTCCGCCGTTCTCGCCTTCTACTTCTGTCGCCGCTGTCGAAGCACCAACGAGCCCCCGCTCAGTCACGATTCCAAAACCCATGCCATGCCTCTTTCGACCTCCACAGGAGCAGCCGTTCTACTCTATGAGCCCGGATCGGGGCTCCGGATCCAGGGACAAGCTCCGCCCAACGGATACCAGCTTGGCACTTGGCCCTCACATATCAACTCACCGTTGAGCTGATTCTTCCTCCGTAGTATGGAAGATTGTTTTTTATTTGAGAATCTTTCGCCGACAATGGTTAATCGGAACCCTTATCTACTTCTTCGGGTTCGTCAGTTTGGGAGCGGCGTCGGCGACGGCTTCTACTTCTTCTTTTCTGTTCCATTGTTGCACCTTCGATCTAAAACCCTCTGATTTCTTCATCGGGAGCTAGGCAAGGTAAACGGAGCGGTATGGTTGAAGAAGGATAGAGGAAAAGGCGAGAGAAGAGGTGTCAAGGTTTTGTTTTTGTTTTTATAATTTATTTATAATAATAAAATAATCATTTTCACCTAGCATTATTTTTTTTAAAAAAATTGCCACATCAGCAATAAACATCAATTCAGTCAGCACGTTAGATAACACCGTTAAAGAATTGGACGGAATTGACTATGTTTGGTATTTCTTCAAAAGTGATTATTATTGGCAAAATCATGAAAGTTTTAACTATACAAGTGTATTTTGCCTTCAATTTAACCTTTCGACAAGCTTCCCAAAACAGTATGCATTCGAAAGTGGGGGGAAATGACTAGAGTCTGTGTGTATGATAAGACGTACTGTACTGGCTAAAACTTACTTTGAGGAAGACAGCATCGGCTGGAGGGATTTTCTGAAACATGTCACCAGCGACGAAGCTGAGATTGGGCAGGGTAGATTCCAGACCAGAGACCACCTGGGCAAGATCGAAGACGGTGCAGTGAATCCCCGGGAAGGCCTCAGCGACGGCCTTGGAAGTGGTGCCCGTGTTCCCGCCGACATCCACGATCGACTTGAGGCCCTCGAAGTGGGACCCACACTTGGCCACCAACGCCTTGCTGAACAGCCAGCTGTCCCTCCCGGTCCCTTCGCTCAGCAGCTTCCCCACCCGCGGGTCCTCCCCGCACACATCGTACAGCTTTTTCCCGTTGTGAGCAAAAGCGAACGGAACCTCCTCGGCGCCGGCGGCGGGTTGACGAATCCAAGCGCTGAGGGAGCGCCACGGGTCCACCAACACCGGGTCGTTGGCTAGGAGGAGCCACGATACTGTGTTGAAAGGGTTGTCGTTGACCAAAAAACCGCACATCTCTGTTGGGGAATAGCTCGCCGCCGTTTCATCACCGTCTTTAAAATTTTCCACGAAGTAGCCCAAGTGGGCTAGCATCCGCATGAGGCGGGCGAGGAAAGGGGCTCTTGCCGGTGCTATTTTCAAGGCCGCGGCAAGCTCACCCACGGTGACGGGCTTGCAGTGGCTCTGGACCACGCTTGGGATGTCCAGTTCGATAGCGAACTGGACGGCCATTGTCTTCACATAGGCGAAGGAGTGATCCCAAACTTGCTGCTGGGCCTTCAGGAGCTGAACGGCTGTGTCTGAATCCATCAATGCAAACTATTTACTACTTGTTATTATCGCACCCACCTCTTTACTTTTTAGATCGATGTCGTAGTTGAGTGGAAGGAAGTGCTTAATTTGCTTCTCTATTTATAGCGATCCATAATTGGAACCAACGTTGTGCATTAATTAATGAAGCTTACGGCCGGCCAATAATGATTTGTTGTATTGTTTGGCATTATCCTTCCCATCACTAATTATAGGTGGTATTTTAATACTGCGCTGGTTATGCAACTTGCCAGGGAAACTCCGAGTCATGTGTGTGCCAGCCAAAGTTATGATACTGCCGCCGTAACCCTTCAATCTCAAGGAGTCGCCCACCCTTCCAATCCCGAGCAACTCGTCTCTGAATCTTCTCAATAACCACTTTGGCGTCCCCCATAAAACCACACTTCACTAATGCCCTTCAAAGAACACCAATGAATCGCGTCCCGAAATCTACCAGCTCCACCAGAAAAGGATCAACAATACTTACATAATAGATCTCGTTTTGTAGAGAACAACGAACTTGTTCCATCTGTGCAAAAAAAAAAAATTGAAATCCAAGTTAAAACGAAGAAGATATGAGCCGAATAAGAAAGCTAGGCAAAATAAAAATGACATATAATTCTCCATCCTTAAATATGAATTTTCTAAATGAAGGGTTCAGATTTAGTTATTGGTTATGCACCCTATCTTGAACCGTTATATCCGATGCTAATATAAGTGTTGCTTTGCAATGTTGCGACTGTTTTGGTACTTTACATAACATGTTTGGTGTTGTAAGACAAATCGAAATTTATGTACATACAGTTTGGTATAAATGAATTCAATAAATTTTGAGGAATTCATTTTGAAATTAAATATTTTTATGTTTGATATTTCAAAGAATTATTTTTCAATTCTAAATTTTAAATTCTACGGAATTGGAGCTAGTTATGGCAATTCCAAGGAATTGAGATGGAATCTCCAAATGAATTTCACAAGTATTTACTAGATTACTGTTCTATTAACTAAATTACTTATACATATGACATACCAAATACAAGAATTCATTTGACAATAAATTATACACGGCAATTCATTTTATTTTTATATATTTGAATATGACATACCAAACACAAGATTTCATTTGACAATGAATTCTACACGGTAATTCATTTTTACAATGAAATGAACTCTCGATTCATTTGGTAATAGACAGAGAAAACTAAGAATTATATTTATGAATAAGTTTATTGCTCATTTCTTCGTAACATTAATAAACTCCCATCATGGGATTCATCAGATAAATTATCAAACCATGGCATCACGGCTCACAGGTATCAAGCATAGACTGGATTTTCTCCTCACCGTAAGTCCAAAAATTTCGGCCATATCTAAATTCTCAGGCCCCGTTCCCTCTGTAAATTTCCAGTCAAAATGATAGAGCAAATTGGCAAACGTCAACTTAATAAAAATTGACGCGTAATACATTCCAGGACACATCCTTCTTCCTGCTCCAAATGGGATGAACTCAAAATCGTTTCCTTTATAGTCAGTTAAACAATCGAGAAACCTCTCAGGATAAAATCTCTCGGACTCTTTCCAATATTGAGGATCCCTCCCAATCGCCCAAGCATTAACTATAACTTTGGTCTTGGCTGGAATTTCGTAGCCACAAATTTCAACCTTCTCCCGACTCTCTCTTGGAATCAACAAAGGGACCGGAGGATGTAACCTTAGACTTTCTTTGACCACCGAGTCCAAATATTTGAGTTCATTGAGGCTAGATTCATCCACATTAAATTTTCCACTGTACACTTGCCTAACTTCTTCCTGTGCTTTCCGAAGTACTCTCTGATCTTTCATCATTTCAGCCATCATCCAATCTATTGTCGTTGAAGAGGTTTCCACTCCAGCCAAGAACACTTCCTAGAAAGTTGAAACAGAAATAATTGGTGGTAATCTCAAAGGGGTTATGATAATAGATTTTGAATATGAGAAATTTTGCTATATGTAAATACCATATTGTATTAAGGTTGTGGGCACAATATGATTCTCTACTATGCATTTTTATTAATTATGCTCCTCTATTATTTTTTATGTCGAACATGCTCATGTATTTTGGAAAGTTTATCAAACATGTCATTTTGCTAAAATTACCATTCAATGACCATTAACCATGGTCAAATCTCGGTTTGAACGGAAAAAAATATCTAAAATATCACTAATAATTTCAATTAAACATTTTTCTAGCTCTAATAATGTCATTTGAACGAGACTTAGAGAAGTAAATGAAGGGGGAAAAGTGACATTTTTCCTCCCATTTTATCGAGTTCAGGTTGTTCAAACCATGATTTGACTGTAGTAATTAATGATTTATGGATGAAACTTTTAAGAGAAAATCATATTTGAAAATGTTTTTAAAATACAAAATCTATATTTGATAAAAATGTATAATAAAGAGACAACTTATACCTATAACTCATTATATTAGTAATGTATTAGTGGCCTTTGTGAATATATATAGTGACACTTACCAGTAGTGCACCTTTGATGTTTTTCGTGGTCAAGTTGAAGTGGAGGGTCCCACTTTCTTGGAGATTCAAAAGAACGTCTACCAGATCATCACGAGCCGTGCTGGAGTCAATGGATCCTCTAGATCTCGTCGCTCTTTTCTCCTTGTGCTCGTTAATGATTTGGTCTAGCATCGACTCAGCCTCGCTATGCATCTTCCTCAGTTTGCCCTTATATCCACTGATCACCGCCAGAAACTTCATCGACGGGAAAAGGTCGGACACCTTGAAACCTCCGAGAATGTCCGAGACATTCTCCACCATCTTCAAAAACCCATCGTCCAACTCCATCGCCTTCCCTAACGCCGTCTGGCACGTGACCCGAGTCGACAGCCAGAACGCCTCCTTGCTCAGGTCCACGGCCTCCCCCGCGGCCGCCTTCAGGGAGAGGCTGGTGACGAGATCCGCCATCTCCGCCTCCCGTACGGGGCAAAAATATTTGACCCGACCCGCCCCGAGCAGCTCCGAAACGCAAGCCTTGCGAAGGTGCTTGTAGGTCTCCGTGTACGCGGTGAACACCAAGTCGCTCCCTGCGTACATCACCATGTCTGCCCCTAGAAGCGATGGTCTCGAAGCGAAAATCACGTCGCGGGTCTTCATCACTTCACGGGCCGCCTGGCTGGAGGAGACCACAAGGTGTGGTAGCTCTCCCAGCTGGAGGCTCATCACGTCGGGCCCGTGTTTACGAGCCAGGTGGCGTAGGCGCTGGTGGGGGAGGCTAGAGACCAGCTGGTGGAGGTTCCCTATGCCTGGGAGCCTCCATGGCCCTGGCGGCGGCAGCATCCCCGGTGAGGAGGAGGATGTCACTTTGCGGATCAATAAGCTTATGGAGAGGAGGAGAAGGATGGTGGATGTGAGAACTGGGAGAAAGGTTGAGGTGGCGGATAGCTCTCTCAGTTGCTCCATGACAACCTTTTATGTCACGTATATTCGATTTCTTGGTGATCTAGTTCTCCATCCCTTATATAGATGTCCGGGAAAATGACATATAAAATACATATTTACATTATTTGTAAATTCCAAATCGACAAATCATTGGAGAGATTCATGGTTCATAAGTAAGAAACCGACCTTAACTGACAAGACGCGTTTTGGGTGAAATGGATGAGTTCTTGTGAGAACTCCGAAGTTAAACGTGCTCAGTGTAAAGCACAACAAAAATGTGTGACCTTATAGGAAGTCACCCTGAATTGCATCCTAAATCGAAATCCGTGCGGGTATAGAGGCCCAAAGAGGACAATATCTTATCCAAAAACGATTCGGGATGTTACAGTATTGCCTCGCGTCGGCATCTTTCAATAATTATACTGTCCACATGTAATATGAATCAGTTGTTTGTTTCTTTATTTCTCTTTTTAAAAACGAAAACCTTAATATTAAGTTCAATTTTAAAAGAGGTGAGAATAGGTAGGGTTTATATAATAGATGATTACGATGATGAGACATTATTATTTGATAATATTCAAATAATTGATCATATGCGTTTAGTAAACTAGCACAGGGCTCGGTCCGTTGGCCGGAAGAATTTTGTCGAGAAATATGATATATAATGATGGATATAATAGATAATTTGAAATGCATGAAATGATTGTTTTCTACTTTAGTTATGCACATTACATTTTTGAAAGTGATCGAACTATGCATAATATGTTTAGACTTTAGACATCCATGAAAAGAGAAAAATATAATATAAGCATTACAAATAATTATTGAATGAAAAAAAATATAACTGATTGTCTTTCAATACTTAATTAAACCATATAGTTAAATATTAGAGTTGCTTCTCGTAATTCATACATAATCAAACTTTAGGATGAAAGAAAATGTCTCATAGATTTTATTGTGTTCTTTAAGTTTTTCCCAATAGAGTGCATTCTTTTTTACCACACTGTTAGTAATGAATATGAAGTTGGTTTATTTGAAATATATATGACATGATACTAATTAAGCTGTCACTAATAGTTAGTTGGACAATGTGTTGTGTATAGACTTCACAAATTATTCTCAGATCGCAGACATGTCTAACAACAAAGTAGTAATTTTCATGTAGCAAATATTTTTTTTTCATGAAATAATTCAATAAATAAAAACGTTGGAAAATAATATTAATTGAAATATATGTTACTCATTAAGTTGACGAATAAGCGAGGGTATGAGTAGCATACATTTATTTTAAAAATATAGAAGTTGCTAAGTGTCTTTTGGGTTGCATGAGATCGCATATTCTCATTATTGCTAACTGACTTATGCTTTTTTGCAATAGATAGTTCAAAATGTGCCTTAAAACTTTTGTTTCCACCAGTGTAAAAGAATTGTTTGAACCAAAGGATTTTAAAATCGTATCGAAAAAGTTGGTAGTAGAGTATTTTATACTGAAGTCATAATTTAACTGTGGTTCATTCGTTTCATATTGCTAATATCACCTATCGATTTAGCCTATGATGTGAAGTTTTATGGTCTAACCGCCGGTACGTATGATCTTGCAGTACAAACTTTAAATAAATAAAAAACAAACTTTAAATAAAAAATCACTAAAATATTGACATTATCAAATACCCCTTAAATATCAGAAATTACAATAATAGTATTAAGGAAAATCTTCCACATGATAATATGATTTAGTATTTTAAATTGAAATGAAAAAAATATGTCAAATATAATGTCATCTCATAAAATAAATCAAAACTCAACAGAATAGGGCTAAGAATATCCACTAATTAAAAGAGAAGGACAATTATTTCATACTACCTAATTTTCCACCTCTTTTAAATGTCCTCTCACTCTCTCTTTGCATTCCTCTTTGTTTTTCCATTTGTTCTTCAATCTCTCTCTCCCAGCTTTGTATCTCACAACTCACCCCTTTTTTCCTTCCTCTTTCTTCCCACCGCTTGAAATCGAGAGAAACCTATAAACATCCCAATTACTTCTCCAATTTTGCGTTCGAAATGCTTCTTCTCGATTCACAATCAATAGTGTGAATCAGAGCACCTGAAACCCGGCGAAAGATGGTCGCTTATTCATCGACGGAGCAAAGTAGCTTGATAGCTTGTGAATAAACTAATTATCAAAAGTGATAAAAAGCAGAACTCGTTAAACCAATCGAGTGAGTGTATAGTTAGCTCATCGCTTTAAAGCCTTAAACCATTGTATTTATCTAAAGAATCAAAATGCATAATCAGGCTCATCTTCACTTTACATGTATTTGTCGTACAAATTCATTACAGATAAAAAAGTTTTTGAACTGAAGCCATATTAAACTAAATCTCATCTTATGATTATTGGATCCATGTCAGATTAGCAAGAGCTCTAAGGCTATTGGTCAACCGAACTGAAAATTAATACTAATTTAAGAATTATATATCGCTTCCAAAATGTTCAATACTCCAATGCAATATTCAATATTCAAAGAAATTATATATGAGTTTCAACCCTTGCTCAAATATTTTAGATACACCCCCTCCCACACACCCACATTTGCAAAGAAATACTATCTCCCAATTTCTTTTTCACTTTACTTGCTTCTAAAGTTATTGTTGACATTGTTTGTTATTACTGCAAGCTGTAAAAAAGACTTTTTGAGCTAGCTATGAAGTTAATTAAGAATGATTTTATAAATGAATTTTTAGTTGTATACATTGAAAAAGGTTTGAATCTCAAAATAAACAATGAATGTATTTTATAAACCTTTTAGAATATGAGTCGTCACACGTTGATGTGAGAAACTACTAATTAATTCAAATTTTATATGTTATTTTTAGAATATTTTGTTTTATTTTTTATCAAATTACGCATTTCTCCATAAAACATGTGTTCACCAATATAGGCTGTGTGGTGCTCGCACTTGTGCATGGTATGATCCATATACATTGTCTTCATGGTATGCTCTAACTGTGTCGTGCTAGCTCGACCAGGTGCCTAGGTATAGTTATATGCATTATAATAATTAAGTTTCTATCTATTCACAACACCAAGATACAAACAGTCATAAATGCACTCATTATGCGATTTTGACTACCTGATGAAATACTACATTTGAATAAATTACAACTGATGTCATAAATAATAATTATACCTTTAAATCATACATAAAATATTTCAAACATCGCAAATATTAAGATTAAATTAATTATTATAAAGAGTAAAAATTGTATAATGAGGTTAATTATAATTCATTTATATGTTCATGCCCTATAATTTGATCAACACATCTGATCCAAAAATAACGAAACAAACGTCACATTAAACTCGATATTGTCTCATTATTGTCGGGTCCATTCATGCTTGATTAGTAATAGTTTAACGTTTAGCAGTTAACCAGACTAAAATTTTAGAGAATCAGTCACCTATAGTTTGTACAAAATATTATTGTTTCGTATTAGTTCTGAAAATTCATATTAATTTAAAGAATTCTACATCGCTTTTGCATATTTAATACTGCAGTTCGATATGCAATATTTCAAGCAATATAATTTTTGTTGCAATTTCAAGATTACTCCTCATTTTATAGGTTATAAAAATTATAAATCACATATTAAACTTTGCTTTTCAGAAGATTTAATAAGCTAGCTAATCGTGAAAAGTCCCATGCTTTTCAAATCTTCACTTAGTGCATGTTTACAATTTATGAAGATAAAACAGATTTGTTTAGTGTAATTGGTTGTGATTATTGTTTTTGTTTGAAGAGACCATGGTTCAAATCTAGTTATTCATACTTTTTCATATGAAGTAGATAATAATTGTGATGACAAAAATATCCTTCCTACTTTCACTCTCGCTTCACGAAATTTGAAATAGAAAATCTTAAAACATTGAATATATCTTATAGAAAAAGCTTCTTCAACCAAGTAGGAAAGTAATTTTACCTGAAATTATTATATCTTATAGAAAGTGATTAATTGTGAAATCAGAACTCAAGTAACATTGATTCAAACATTAAATAATAAATTGTATGTGTGGTTCAGTTTAGACAAAATACATATGTGTAGCCAAAATATTGATCTTTGTGACAAATATAGTTATTTTTTGTCACAAATCTATACGTAATATAAAGAAAATCTATACATAATATAAAAATAAATTGGGCACTATGACTAAAAAGACCTTCCTAGAATCACTCTCAGCCCACAAAATTTGAAATGAGACTCTATTTTCTAAGTTTATCATTATATTATGGTAGATTTGTAACAAAAAATGATTATACTCGTCACAAAGGTCAATATTTTGGTTAACTTCTTTATTTTGTCTGAACCAAACAACACATACAATTTAGGGTAAATACAATATATTAGCCACAACTATTTGAAGCGGGGAATTATAGCCACAACTATGGAAATTCAAATTCTTAGCCAAACGTTAACTCTCTGTTAACAATTTCGTTCATAATGCTAACTAAACTTTTATGTTTTAAAGGTATAAATTAAAAGCAGTCCGACGTGGCTGCTGCCATACGTGGTCGTTGACGTGGCCTTCTTCTTTCTATAAAATCAAAAAATTGAAGCATCATCACCAAACATATTCTTAGAGTTCAATCAAAAAAATAACAACAAATAATATGTAGTAGGGCTGGGAATCCAGTCCCGGTTTTCCGGTCAAACCGAAAACCGGGCGGTTAAAACCGTGCTGGTTGCAACCGAAAACCGGATACGCATTTACCCAATCCAGTTTACAGTTTTAGTCTTCGTATGGCCGGTCCGATCCGGTTAAAACCGGAAAAACCGGGTTGTAAAAAATAAAATATATACTAACAAGCCCAGCTTGCCTAATACCTACTAAAGCCCACTACCCAAGCCCCCCACCAACCCCAGCCCACAACCGACCTCAACCCAACCCTAAATGCACCTGCTACCCCATCCTCAACACACTAACCCTAATATTGCGCAGCCACTATCCCCTGCCTCCATCAATCC